TAAATTATACATGTCTTTCCTTACAACTTCTCTCAATTTCTCCCCTCCACTCTTTCTTATGTGCTGTGTATCTCTCTTCTTCTTACTCAAACAAAAACAATTGACAGGATAGTAATTGAAACTAAATATTGCACGTCAAACAAACATTTAATCACTAATACTACTATTTCAATGACTTTAGAACATGAATCATCATAAAAGCGGCAACTCCCATCGTTTCAAGTATGCCTATTTACATCAGCTTTACTCACAATAAATATTATTATTAGTTCGGAAATAATAGTTATCTTCATAGGAATAGTCATGATAATAATTATAATATTAATAATAACAACAATACTGATACTATTAATATTATTATCAAAATGTAAGGCGTCCATCAACATGATTTTGGTTTTAAATATCGTCTAACTTGCTCTTTAAAAAACTTCAGGCAGTTCTGAAAATGCAAAAATCCTGTTCATTCAATTGCAGACCCATTCACTAACTAAAGTTTGCCCTTTTACCCTCACCATTAACAATATTTCCACGATGCATTATTTTATGATAAAGATGGTATTAATCTTGCCTTCATTATTAATAAGGCTCATTAAAATAATCTTCTCATTCGCTTTTAAAATGTGTGTTTCTTTCAGGTCATGATCGGTCATGTTCACGTTTGATATTTAGATACTAACGGTTTTACTGTTTCACACAAATCCGGCACAAGTGGATGTTGACATGACATTTCAACACGATGTTGCTCAGTGAAGCGTGTATAGATTAATGTAATCAATGTATCATTGGAAAGCATATTACTTTTACTCTATGAAAGCAAATCATCTTATTATACACCTCATAGATATTCACAATATCTATTTGTTTTCGAGTTTCATCTTTTCTGGGACGCAGTGTATAGTTAATAATTTATAAACTGAGCATCTTACTTTAAATTATCTCATATTTCACACTGAAACCATATTTGTTTTACCTTAAGTTTGGAAGATAAAATATTGACTTTTGTCTTTCTTTATTCTTTTACCTTGTCTTGAATTACTTATATGACATGATGTCATGTATTGCATATAGTTTTCATTGAGGGAATGTATTTATTCATTATTTTCGATCTATTTAGGTAATGATTGCGAAATATAAAATAAGATAGACTTGAAACAAGTAAATAATGTCATAAATTGCCGTGTATTTTGACACATTAACATTACATTCTTTGTTTTCGTTATTCACTAGTATCTGAAGTATAAGCTCGTTACTCGAGACCACAGACAGATATGTATATTCCTATGTATATGTATATGTATTTGTATTTACATGTACATTTACATGTGTGTGTGTATTTACATGTACATCTATAATTAAGCATAAGTATACAGGTTTAGTATACAGGTTTGTATATTTCTATCATAGACCCTATACTCTACTACACAAACTGCACTTTTATGTCTTCATCAAATATCTTTGACTTTTCATTTTCATGAAGCACTACCTAATATTATACAATGAAGTTTGAACAAAGTCTCTTGGCAATAAAAATGAGATTCTATGAAACACAAAAAAGAACACACCGCCACTAATGCTCATCATCAATATAATTATTTTTAAATTGCTTAAATATGAAGATGAAAGGTGCTCTGTCTTTTAAACATCATAAATTAACACCTTTTTTAACAATCTTTTCAGAACTATTCATGTAAAAATTAGTGCATGGAACGACACAAACCACAAACTGAAACATTTATACAGCTCCGATAGATTTACACACACAATGACAAAGGAACGAAAACCTGATTTTACATGGATGCAGTGGTGCAACCAGGCGGTATGAAAAATTGAAAGAAACAAATCTATTTGTTATTTCCTCATTTCTTTCTCGCATATGAATCTATATTGTGTGGAGCAATCCTTATCATGCCAACTACTATATTGACCCTGACACAGAATACGAAAACAGCCTACATTATCATTGAACGAATACGGGTTAAAACTGCTATATGTAAGACTTGATCCGTCTAGCCACCTTGCCTCACTGGGACTCAAGCCGGTCAGCCCGATCCAGTAGTAAGTATTCGGGGTACCCCGGTAGTACTCAACATGCCGCGCGATGAAGTCCTCTTCCTCTTGCGACTCGATGAAGACCAGATGGGATCCGTATTGGGAACAAGCTGAAACCGCGGAAGCATGATTCATCTCCGAAGTGCTGAAATTGTAGAACGACCCGCCGTATTCACAATCCACCGGAGGAGATGAGCATGCTGAAAAGATGAAAATACAATATGTAAATTGCTCAATTTCAAGAAAGTAGACAAAATGATTATTTGGGTAGAATCTGAAATATTCAAAGAAAAATAGATAATAATTATGATGATTACGAAAATAATAATAATATTGATAATGAAATAATAATACTAAAAGTAGATTTATGAACAAAACTACAGTTATGATAATCAATACCTACAGAGACTTTGCTCACCATCGCAAATAACAATGTTATTTTATACAGTTATTTTTGTTTTTATGAATGAAAGAGGGGGAGGAGGAGAGGAGGGAGAGAGCGAGCGAGAGAGAGAGAGAGAGAGAGAGAGAGACAGACGGACAGAGAGAGAGAAAGAGAGAGAGAGAGAGAAGAGGAGAGTGGTAGTGGCAAGACCCATTATAATGATGATCAAATGCATGACGCCACTGTATTGCTTCTATTACTCAGAGTCAGATAAAGACTGAAAGAGTGACAATAATACTCTATTCCGAGGCGCACTAATTATTACACTGGCTTTAGCCTTGCTGCCATTACGGTGCTCCAGTATTTCAAGGAATTAATTCCTATATAAATTATATACCAAGTACCGATTTACCTCACATGGGTCGAGTGTGGCAAATGAAGATTAGCTGCCATTACGGCGCTCTAGTATTTCAAGGAATTAATTCCGATAGGTTCCCATTTATCTCATCTGGGTCGAGTGTGGCAAATGGAGATTATATGCCTTGCCAAAGGACATTAATGCCGTGTCGGGAATCGAACCACGACCTTTGAGTTTCAAGTCAAGTGCTTAAATCACTCGACTGAGAAACTACAAAGATGAAGAGAGGGCGAAAGAGGGATGGAGGGGTGGTCGGTGCATAGGGAGGGGAGAAAGAAATGGAGAGAGAGAGAGAGGGGGGAGAGAGAAAGAGAGGGAAGGAGGTAGTGGCTTGACACATTATAATAATGATTTTTTTTTTAAAGCATGACATAATTTCATCTCTTACTTACTGGAGGCGGGGGTTTCTTGTGATGTCGTTGTGTCTGGCATCGTGGTCGTAGGGCTCGTTATGGGCTTGCTCGTAGCGTCCGTAGTCGATACTTCTGCTGTCTCTGAAACGTTTGAAGGTTGTTACAAATGAAACCATACTTACAAAGCAATGGGATTATGAATGACAATCTAAACGTGATTATATAAGGCCAAAACGAAGACAATTGTGATCCCTGACATCATATAAATTGTATTAGTTTGTTTATTTTATAAGGTATTATTTGTGTTTGTAGATTTAGTGGTGTGTTCCTATGGCGTGTTTGTTGTCATTAAACTCGTGGGCAAACGAATGAGACGGGTACCTCCTCCTTTTAGAGAAGCCCGTGACAGGATAGAGATAAAGACTGAGGGGGAGGGAGAAAGAGAGGGGAAAGCATTTTCTTAGTCAGGGTACGGGGTTAGGATCAAGTTGGGGGGGGGGGGGGGGAATAGAAATCAGAAAATGCTTTTCCTGTGGGAATCCCAATTCTATCAAAAAGTTCGAAAAGAGGACCGCGAGTTACTTTCTTTTTAATCATTATCATCATCAGCATCATCATCTTCTTCTTCTTCTTCTTCTTCAGTTGCAGTACCGGCCACTGTCTTGTATTGTCGTACTAGTAAAATTACCGGCAAATTTATATCATCACGTATTAGTCAAAACATATTCTTTCACATGATTGGTAATAAGACCTTCCATTTCATTTTTTGAGAGGGGGCGTTTCCAAAACCGGTGACACCTTTAACATTGCAAATTTTAGGAAATTCACAATGTTATTTCTTATATATATTTTTTGTTTGTTTATGAATGAAAGAGGTGAGGAGAGGAGGGGTGGGATGGGAAGGAGAGGAGGGAGGGAGGGAGGGAGGGAGATCAGGCGCGGATCCAGGATTTCTTAGGGGAGGGGGCCCAACTTTTTTTTTTTTTTCTCCCGAAAATTGAAAATCGGGTAGTGAGCACATTTTTTTTTTTTGATCCTCAAAAAAAAAAAAAATTTGCACCCCCCCCCCTTGAGCGCCAGGGGGGCCCAACCCCCCAAAAAGGTAAAAATCACGTGATTTTACATGATTTTTTTCTAAAGGGGGAGGGCCCCCCCCCCCCTGGATCCGCCACTGAGGGAGATAGAGAGAGAGAGAAAGAGAAAGAGAGAGAGAGAGAGAGAGGGGGAGGGAGATAGATAGAGAGAGAGAGAGAGAGAGTGGAGAGTAGAAGTTGCTAGACCTACCACTGAATTTATTGCATTGTTTCTCTTACTCAGAGTCAGATAAAGACTAAAAGAGAGATGAAGATTGTATGATCTCCCAAAGCTGTTTTAATTTGTTTTAATTTTCCAAGTCCTTTCACTATAGCAATGATCGTATTATATATAATTATTTATGGTAATTGTATGATCTCCCAAAGCTGTTTTAATTTGTTTCTAATTTGAATTCCAAGTCCTTTCACTGTAGCAATGATCGTATTATATATAATTATTTATGGTAATTGTATATACTTATTTTTTTACTTATTATTATGTACTTATATACTTATTATATATATATTTTTTTTTACTTATTAATGATTTAATTCATCCATGTGTTTTTTTACCTTGTTATGTTTTTTGTTATGCATTTTATATTGTTAACTGACTTGTTTAGTCTTCGGACTTTTTAATCAGTACTTGAATAAAACCAAATATCTATCTATCTATCTATCTAAGAGAGAGAAAAGGGGAGGGGTGGAGGTTAGGTGGCCAGTAGAAGGAGACGGATGGTGAAGAGGACGGGATAGAGAGAGGAAGAGAGAGAGAGAGAAGGAGAGAGAAAGAGAGAGAAGGGGGTAGTGGCTAGACAAATTATATTAATGATCAAAAGCATACTTACTGGAGGTAATGGTGTCTTGCAATGTCGTTGTGTCTGATATCGTGGTCCTAGGGCTCGTCATGGGCTTGCCCGTCGCGTCCGTAGTCGATAATTCTGCTGACTCTGAAACGTTTGAAGGTTGTAACAAATTAAACCAAAAATACAAAGCACTGAGATTATGAATGACAACCTATACATGATTGTAGAGGACCAAAACGAAGAAAATTCTGCTCCCTGACAACAAATAAATTGTGTTTGTAGATTAAGTGGTGCTTTGCCAAAGCCCAAGTAAATTTTTACCGAATAATTTATCTAAATGTGTTTGTTGTCTTTAAACTCGTGGGCGAACGAATGAGACGGTTACCTGCCCCTAAATAAGGTTTTAGCGACGCCCGTGACAGGATAGAGATAACAACTGAGAGAGAGAAAGAGAGAGAGAGAGAGAGAGAGAGAGAGAGAGAGAGAGAGAGAGGGAGAGAGGGGGTGGAGTGAGAGAGAGAGAGAGGGGAAAGTTGTTTCTCTTACTAGAGGTTGTGGTTACTTGCGATGTCGTTGCCTCTGATCGTTCCGGCATCGTGATCGTAGGGCTCGGCTCGGACTTGGTTTTGGCTTCCGTTTTCACCGAATCTGAACGGAATAAAAGACAAAGAAAAAATTGTTCAATAAGTGGGGGGAGCCGGAGTGAGGGAATGATTTGGATATAGACAGACAGAGACAAAGAACGCGCGAAGAGGATAGAAGAAGATAAAGACTGAAAGAGAGATGAAGAAAGAGAGAAAGGCGGAGGGGTGGAGGGAGTGGTCATGAAGGGGTGAGGGTGGTGAAGGGGGAGTGGAAAGAGAGAATAGGAGAGAGAGATAGAGAGAGAGAGAGAGAGAGAGAGAGAGAGAGAGAGAGAGAGAGGGAAGGTGTAGTTGCTTGACACATTATAATAATGATCGAAAGCATGACATCATTTCATTGTTTCTCTTACTTACTGGAGGCGGTGGTTTCTGGCGATGTCGTTGTGGCTGACACCGTGGTCATAGGCCTCGTAGCCGTCTTGGTCGCCACGTCCGTAGTCGATGATTCCACTGACTCTGAAACGTTTGTAAAAAATGAAGCCACACGTTTAAAGTAATAACATTAGGAATGACACCTCAACAGGAATAGAAGGCCAAAACGAAGAACATTTTTTAAAAATAAACTTTAACAGTTTATTTATTTTATGAGGACTGTATAGTTTGTGTCAGGACATTGGGTTTAGTGGGTCTAAGTCAAAGGGTCTTATTTTTGCCAAATCATTTATCTAAATGTATTGATATGGCGTGTCTAATTGTTGTTAAACGCGTGGACAAAAGAATTAGACGGTCACTTACCCCTTAAACAAATGTTTTACCGACGCCCGAGATAGGAAAGGACTTTTAAAAAGTCAGATAAAGACTGAGATATACAGATATAAAGAGAGAGAGAGAGAGAGAGAGAGAGAGAAAGGAGAGAGAGAGAGAGAGAGAGAGAGAGAGAGAGAGAGATAGAGAGAGAGAGAGAGAGACTATATTGGCTAAACCTAGATGCCCGAATTCACAAAGGAGGTTTGTCGACAAACCTCCTTGAATTCGGGCTATATTGATATTAATCACATGACGTCATTTTAATGTTTCTCTTACTGGAAGTTGTGGTTTCTTGCGATGACGTCGCGTCTGATCGTTCCGGCATTGTGACCGTTGGGCTCGTCGCGGACTTGGTTTTCGCTTCCCGTTGTGAACGAAATGGAAAAAATGTATTAAATTGAGTGGGGAAAAGGGAGCCGGAGTCAGGAAATGATAGAAAAACAAATAGATAGAGACAAAGAATGTGCGAAGAGTGAAGATGAACAATAACAGCATCAAGAACGTTGTCGTTAAACTTAAAGGCAAAATATATATTTAAATAATTAACGTACACTGTCCCCTTCTAAAGTGTTTTAGCGACGCTCCTGAAAGAAGGACAAATAAAAATAAGACTATAAAAATAAGAATTAGACGGTCACTCCCCCCCCCCCTCCTTAAAGAAAATGTTTTAGTGACGCCCCGAAAGGACCGAAAAATAGTATAGAGATATCGACTGCTTCAAGAGGCCTTGCTGTTTAAAAGGCTCAAGATGTGCAAGCTCTTGAAAGCCTATACATCAGCCAGACCTCGAATATTAAAGAATTCGATATGTCTTTAATAATGCTGAATTGAAACAAAAATCTACCAAGAATTCTCACCTTATTCTTTTATTGAGTAAAGATCGGTTAAAACATCACGGAAAATCTGAGAAACTGTCTGTTTATCTTTGTTTAGCGGTGTCCGCGTCGCACAAAGGAAATTTTAACACTTAAACCACAGTGGGTATTGCAGCAAAATTTTACTATTTTCATGGAAACCGAAATTTTGAGGGATCTCACTTTTGGACTATTAACCGGTATTGGCATTTTTTGTTTCTTTACGGGAATGGCCAAAATCACGACTCCAATTTCGACCAGTCAGATGGTTGTGTTTCTTAAGTGAGGTATATCAAATCAGATAAAGACCGAGAGAGAGGGAAAGAGAAAAAAGGGGATATAGTGGCTAGACCCATTATGATAAAAATCAAATGCATGACGTGGTCGAGTGGATACGTCGCCGGACTGTCGATCACAAGGTCCGCGGTTCGAGTCCCGCCGCTGCACTAATGTCCTTTGGCAAGACATTGATCTACATTTTCCATACTCCACCCAGGTGAAGTAAATGGGTACCTGGTAGGAATTTATTCCTTGAAACGCAGCGCGCGTAACAGCTGCACTGCTAAAGCCATGGTAATTATGCTGCATTATTGTAGAGCGCTTAGAGACTTCTGACAAAGTAAGTGTTAGGCGCTATATAAGCACTGTAATTATTATTATTTCCATGAAGCTTTTGCCTAGACATACCAGAGGTAGTGGTGCTTTGAGAAGTCGTTGTGTCTGAGCGTTCCGTCATCGTAGTCAAAGGGCTCGTCGTAGGCTTGTTCGTCGCTTCCTCCGTTGACTCTGTGAAGAAGAAACAAACATGGGGTAGATGACAAGGCATAATATTTACTCCGAAATTATCTTCCCGCCGGCTGTCTCCAGGCGCTCTTGGTCAGGGAGAGGGATAGGATCAAAGCGGGGGGGGGGGGGAAACAAATAGAAATCGGAAAACATTTTTCCTGTGGGAATCCAAATTATTTCAACAAATTCCGAAAGAGGACCGCGAGGTATTTTCTTCTTAAACATCATCTTTTACTTCTTCTTCTTCTTCAGTTGCAACTACTGAATTTTCGTTTACCCCCTGTAGAAAGTCTCTTCATGCTAATTGTTCATTAATTAGCCACCCTCCCCCTCCCCCGATACGCCTACGTTAATATTACACCTACGTTCATCGCAGTGTCTCCCTTGAAACCCACTTGAGCAGTGACAGTGGTAGCCTACCATAGTCTCCTCACACCAGCCGTTTTTACAGAGGTTTTTGCCACAATCTGCGAAATAAGTAATAAACGGGATAAAACTTAATATTGATTAACAAATTATCATTACATTTTGTTCTGTTTGGTGTGAAAAGATATATTTTCGGGATTTTCACAAATTAACATAAAAAAAGATAAGCAAGACTAATGATAATGCATTTTTACCAGGGCTTAAACATGTCAAACGCCACGGAGACCATACTCCATAGCCATCGGATACCCATTTCATTGGTGTCAGTGCCCATTCTCTAATTCACTGTTTTGCCTGGTGTAATTCACAGCCCTTGCCGACTATTTTTTTTTTAATCCCCCGTTAATTGTTCCTGGCTTTATTTTGTCAAAGGTTTATGATTAGGGTAAGAGTTGCAATTGGCTTTAAGGTTAGGATTAGAGTTAGGGTCAGGTATAGTGTTTGTTACAGTTACAGGAAAACCCAATCATAATAGACAACTACTCTATAAGAAAGCAGAAATATCAGAGAAGCAGACTGATGAAAGTTCGAATGGAATCGGATAATAAATAAGAAAATTTGTTCAACACACAAAATGACTAAAATGTTAATTTTTCCAAATGTTTGACTCTGGAGGGCCTTTCCATTTGAGAAAACCGATGATAATGTGCTATCCGAAATATATTTTGCCTACTGCCCCAAGGGAGAAGGCACTTCTAACCATTTTTATCCACGACGAACGGGAAAGTTGTCCATGACTATGTCACAATCAATTGGAGATTGGCATATATTTAGTGATCTCATATTTCAATCATTCATAACTCCCTTGGAGTTAATTCGATTTATTTTGCCAATCTTTGTCTCTTACTTTTCTACTTTCATACAAATGAATATTTAACAAGATTTGGATTCCCCTTTAAGAAATTAACGTGGAGCAATTTTCGTCAGAAACAAGTGTCGTACAACCTTTCCCTTTTTAGATCTTCCTACGTACCTGTACTGTAATAAAAGAAATCGTGATATAGAAAAAGCGGCCTAAAAATAAAGAAATTATTTAGAAACGAGACCGCGAAGTTTGTTACTGGTTTTTCTAGCACTTAACAATTACTTAAGCCCATCCATTTAGGCCTTAATTCAAGTGAGAAAATAATAATTATTTCACACTGTTTTCAAATTCTGGTACTTGATAGCGAAGGGAAAAACGAGAATATTATTTGGTGAATACGAATTCACAAATATTGTTGCTCGTCTCGCACCAGAATATTGTTTTGCTAGATAATTTGATGTTCCTTTCATTATTTTCGATAGATTTTACTAAACATCTAGAGAGGAATTTCAAATAGTAGTATTAGTAGAAGTCGTAGAAGTCGAAGGAGTAGTAGTAGTAGTAGTAGTAGTAGTAGTAGTAGTAGTAGTAGTAGTAGTAGTAGTAGAAGTGGTAGTTAGAGTACCCAATAAACAAAATCACGTGAAAATCACGTCAATATGAAGGTATCGACTTAAGGAGAGTTACGTTCTTCAAACACCGGACATTTACGTAAATGTGTTAATACGTTTTTTGCATTAGGTAACTTAAAACACACGTACACTAAATCACGCAATTGTCACTGCAATATTACCATTATAATAACGTGATTATCCCTACCTTGGAGACCATGGTTTGTAAACCTAATACTCCCGTGTTTGTTTGGTTATGAAATTACATCTTCATACACGAAATTATCGCGTCACAGAAACACGTGAAGCGTTAGTGATAGTTTTAGTCAAAATATCTGCGTGAAATTCACGTGAATATTACGAGGCTGACTTGAGATGAATCATGTTCTTCATTCACGTGAAATTTACGTCGAAGAGGAAGTATGTTACTGTAACCCGCGTTCAACCCAATAATTACGCAAATGTTACACAATAAATGAACCAAAATAATGACGTTCTCATCCCGTTTCTGAACATCGGGTCTTGGATCTTCCATAATTACGTCCAGGCGCGCCGGAAGCAGTTTGGGATTAGAGGGGGTTGAGTGAGGGGGAGGGGGTGCAAACATCCCAGAAGAGAAAGCTAGTTGCAACTGGTCCAGTTGATGAACCATTTAATGCCAACTGGTAACCCTGGAAATTGAAATGGGCTAAATGATCCAGTTGATCCAGGCCAGTTATAATTCAACTGGTCTAGCTGAGCCATTAAAACCATTTGGTAAAACTTCCAACCAGTTGAACAGCAACAATACTTCAATACTGGTACGTCTGAATTTCCAATGTAAGGGCACTGGTAATAAGTAGACTTACATAATTGAAATAATCGAAAAAAATTCGTATACTTGTACTTTATTGAAATTATTTTAGTTCACAGTTAATGTTTCCCTTATTCATGTTTAACTATTTATACGAAGTAGCGAAATGTCCTAATAACTGGTAATATATATTTGTAGTATTTTCGAAATGAATTGCATATAACTAAATCATCAGTAATTAAGAAATATGCTGTAAATTCAGATAAATTGTTTTAAAAACATAGATCTGCACGCACCCCATATTCAATATGCAAATGAATTGGTGTCAGCTGGGTCAACTCGAAATATGCCAACGCTCAGTCATCAACTGGTGCAACTGGAAATATGCACACTCCAGTTATCAACTGGTGCAATGAAAATATGCCAACAGTCAGTTATCAACTGGTGAACATAGAAATATGCCAACAGTCACGGGATTATCACCACGGAACTTAAATGGTAACTGTGAAACCATCAAGACACCCAAGAATAACTCATTTCACACATGGAAAACACGGAATACCCAGCTTATATTAAAAATCCGTTTGAGTCACGCGATCATCACCGCGGAACTGCTGGCAACTTTGACTACGATTTAAATAGGAGTTTTAAGACACCTAATCATGACTAATTTTTCACACCTAAAAGTCACGTATGCCCAGCTTAGATTAATAATCCGTTTGAGTCACGAGATCATCACCGCGGAACTTATGGCAACTTTGACTTCCATTTAAATAGGTGTTTTAATACACCTAATAATGACTAATTTTTCACACCTAAATATCACGGATTCACAGCTTAGATTAGTAATCAGTTTTAACTACGTGATCATCACCAAGAAAGTTATGGTAACTTTGAAACCATTTAAATAGGTGTTTTAAGACACCTAATAATGACTAATTTTTCACACCTAAAAGTCACGTATGACAACTTTAGCTCAATAATCCGTTTGAGTCACGAGATCATCACCGCGGAACTTATGGCAACTTTGACTACCATTTAAAAAGGTGT